CCCCAAAACCCCAAAACCCCAAAACCCCAAAACCCCAAAACCCCAAAACCCCAAAATAAACTAGCAAGCTTGAGCATAAATTTTTATAAAATTATTTGTATTTTATAGGTAATGGCTTAATTTTTACAAAATTTTTTGAGGGTTTAGGCATAACTGATTTAGACACGAATGGATTGGGGAGCAGGTGATAGCTTGAAAGCAAGGTCTTACGGCCAAGCAAACGAATATAATGATGCCAATGAGAGATTATCTAATACTGGAGGTAAAGGGAGGTTTTTGATCCTTTTAGGTGGCGGAAAGCCTGACAATGACTGGGACGCTATCTCAAAAGTTCAACAAGAGGTTATAAAGAAGGATATGGAAAATCATACACAGAAGAATAATGAGCAAAAGAAGCAATACTACAGCGTCCTGGATCGTCAACGTTACGAAAAATTACAACTAAAGTTAACTGAGGAGCAAATGAAGCAACGGGAAATGGCTGAGATGAAACAGAGAGAAGAAGAGCTTCGTAAGGCTGCTGAAATGGAGAAGGATCAGCGTAACAAGTATCTCGAGTACATGAACAACAACTACAAAACCACACTTGACTACAAGCGCGAGCGTGAAAGAGAGAAAAAGGAGTCTGACCTTGAGGAAGAACGCAAAAGACTTAAGATAATTGAGAAAGATCTGAAGGAGGAACAGTTCAGAAACCACAAGAAAAAGGAGAACTTCATGAAAGAAGTTGCAGAAATAGAGAATCATAAGAAACAAATGAAGGAGTTCGAAAAGCTTAATAAAAATCGTAAATTATTTCCTAATATCCCTAGGTGAAAGAGAGGAATATCAAGAGCTCTCCAAGAAGAACTACGACCTCGAGGTTGAAAGAGAGAACAATTATAAGAAGTTCTTCCAGGACTATGAAGGAAACATGAGCAATAGAATGTCAAACCATATTAAACATGTTACTGAGCAGAGTATCGCCAAGCAACAGAAACTTGACATGATCGAAGATAGAAACGAAAAACTCAGAAAAGACTATCTTGAAGAGAAAGACAGGAAGGAGAGAGAGGAAAGAATGAGACAGCTCCAAGAGATGAATGACCAAAACAAAAGAATCTTCGATAAGCTTGACAAGGAGAGAACTGGTAAGAAAGAGATGTACCAAAGGATGACTGAACAGAGAAAGAAAGAGGAGGATGAGTACAGAAAATATCAGGAACAACAAATGCAAGAGGAACAGGATAGGAAAAAGATGTACAGAGACGCACTCCAATACCAGAAGGGTTACAGTGAATATAATAAGAATGCCTCTAATCAAATGACTAATATGGAGAAGAAGCTTAATGCTAAAGATCTTAGAACTCTTCAAGACAATAAAGTTGAGTATGAAGGAATGGTCCCAGGAATACATAATATCCAATCTGTTGGGTCAAAGCCATTGCTTAGAAAGGCAAATGAGGATATTTACGACCCATCTAAGAAACAGCCAGAGTTCATGATCAAAGACTTTAACAAGAGTTATAAGGAGCTAAGGACATCTATAAAACCTGCTGAAGGTTTTTCAAAAGTGCATACTACCAAGAATCAGAACAGGTATGATCCAATCACGAACCCTGTGCCATTTGTGAACCAGAATCCTTATATTATGAAGGAGAAGACTATGATTGGTGGAGAGGGAAGTAGTAGCTTGATTAACCACAGCAACAGAAGATCTCAGAGATCCTTGTTATCAGCTACAGCCGAAAAGAATATTTTAATCTAGGATCTAATTTCCCTATTTTATATAAGAGGGGTTTTGGGGTTTTGGGGTTTTGGGGTTTTGGGG